ATAAAAATGCGGAACTCGTCAGAGTTACAGACTTCTCACACAAATGTGCAGAAGCACCTACACCAGTGATTCCCAAAGATTTTCTGGGCCCCCTATAGAATACATTAAAATCCCCCCCAAAAAAGAATAAAAAACATCAACTGGGCACGTATATTGTTCAACCAGACACAAAGCTATACACACATTTTGTTTTCAAACTCCACTGAAGTTTTTTCACACTTCAGGTTGCAACAAAACACACTAAAAAACATCTTTACAGTGTAACTGTTTTTTTTTTCTCATCCATACTGTTCCCGCGCTCCCCAACCCCGACAACAGCACTGCGACCCAGACTTTAGGAACCACTGGTCTAGATGGTGAATCAGCTTTTCTGCATCTGAATGATGAATCTTAGTTTTTACAGGAATGTTCCAGGATTGTTTTTCTGCACCACATGTCCAATAAAGTATTGTTTCAGACATGATAGGAATGCAGGAAAGGCTCAGACACACAGAGATCAGGGATGGAATGAATTGAGGGCAAAGGGATGAATCCGTGTGCAGAAAACAGAAAAAAACAGAGTCTAGCGGGAAAAAGACAGAACAAAACAAAATATCAATCGAGCAGAAAACTGGTGAGAGGCAGAAGAACAACAAGCAGGGACAGGTAGACTGTGAACTGATTTCTGCTTCACAAGAAATGGAAACTGAATGACTGAAGCATTACAGACTAGATTATTAATCCATATGTATTGATTTGACCCATGTCACATTTTAAACTATCTTTCTAAATATATGATGGCATGTCTCTGTGAAGCTGCTACGCATTCTGTGACATACCATTTCGGACTTAGCGAGAGATGACATGTGGTAAATGCATCAACATGCTGGACTGGCCTTTGAACGCGGACTCCATCAAGCGTTCTCTCCATGACGGCTTCTGTTAATGGGAGCTGGTCCAAGATGTCATTCGTTGTTGACTGCCAAATTGTGATAAGCCATGACAAATGATAATTAATGTAACCTTGGTGCTCAGCGTCTGACCTTTTTCCCAGTGGAGAGCATGTTTATTTAGGTTTTGCAGGAGCAGTCTGTCACTAATGGCCCATGGGATTCCGAGCCTATCAGCATAACTCAGACAAAGACAAAGGTTCAATTTAGCTGCCTTAATGAGCTTTATTTATACTCTGTGTTCTCCATCAGAGAGTTGCACAGATTGACAAAAAAGGTTGACGGATCGCTTTAGCCTGTTGGGGAACTGTTATTCTTGTTCGTGCGAGATTGTCAGTGCTCTTGGTTTTACACATAAGATCAATGAAATACATCAAACAGAGGGTGATTCACTTTTTGTGTGACTGAACTTTAAATTGTTGGCTGTGGAAACATGGACGGTGTTGAACATGGCACCAGGGCTTTGCTAAGCTACATTTTCTGATGATTGGTATGTGTGTCCACACACTTTCTTGTCTCTTGTCAAACTCACATTGTCAGTGGAGATGAATCGCTCAGTTTTTGATGTGCAGACGTGCTGCTGGTGAGACTTGATTGGGTTAAGACCTTTCTACAACACTAGTCTATATCCTGCGAGATTGGTTGTCTGCAGTGTCCATCATCTTTGCAGAACGTTTAGTTGCAAAAATTTGAAATCTGATTCATGGAACTAGAATAGTTTTTCTTTTTAATTTTGTCTAATTTTTGTGTTGAAAATAACATTGTTGAAATGTAAGAAGCTTATTTTAGGGACTGCTAAAGAGGGCAGTAAACTGGCCCCCCACTAGTGGGCAATGCTCTGCTAGTGGTGGTGCAAATGCTAATGCATTACCTTCTGATTTTACTTTTGCAAAAGTAAAACTCAGATGTTCACTTCGTTGTACTTGGTTCCCAGAAAACGGGCTCATCTCTTAGCAATTTAAGATGCCACTTAACTTACACTACTTAACTAGAATTGTGCAGTTGGTAAATTTTTCATGAAAAATTATTATTTTTTTTTTTGTCATTGGTGGTAAATATATGATACATCAGACATTCGTCACAGAAGATATGATTTATACTTCGTGGCAGTTCGTTACCAGGAAAAAAACTTGGTGTTCATATCTGAACACCAAGCTAATTAGTTTTTAGAAAACTTAAACTCTGTTGAAAAACTGCTTACCTGTTTAGACACAAGAAATGTACAGTTTGTAAATTTTGCAAAAGTAAAAGTCAGATGTTTACTTCGTGGCACTGGGCGACCAGAAAACACGCTCATCTCTTAGGAACAGATTAACAACAAATATTGTTTAAAAAACATAAGATTTATTCAGCTTTTTTGAAATACTACTTATATTACACTACTTAACAAGAATTGTGCAGTTGGGAATTTTTTCAGAAATTGAAAATGTGTTTTTTTTTTGTCATTGGTGGTAAATATGTTATAAAACATTTAACACAAAAGATTATTTGTACTTCGTTACCATAAAAAAAAAAAAGAAACGCTCATCTCTTAACACCAAGACAGTTATTGGTGTTAAGAGATGAAATCTTTTTAAACACTGTTTATCTGCGTAGACACAAGAAACATATAGTTGGTAAATTTTGCAAAAGTTAAAATCAGGTGTTTACTTCGTGGCACTTGGTTACCAGAAAACACGCTCATCTCTTAGCAACACGTCATGTTTTTTATTGTTCAAAAAACAAGATTTCTTCTGCTCTTTGGAAATACTGTCTTACTCTACTTACTACTTAACAAGAATTGTGCAGTTGGTAAATTTTGCAGGCATTTCAATGGTTTGCATAGCCATGTAAGCCATTGAAACGCTCTCATATGCGTTGCTGTAGCATATGAGAGCGTTTCACATGATATAGTATGACATAGTATATCAGGCTTCAATGACAAATAGGGACATGAAGAATTTTTATTATACAGGAGGGCAAAAAAGGGCTAATCACCATTAAGTTATTTCCTTAAATAATATTATTGTGGGACCATTAAAGTGGCATTAAAGGAAGGAAAATCCATTGTTACCATCCCTACCATTCTCCGATTGTACAATTACACTAAAAAAGGACACATTTATTCTTAGTTCCACTCAGTTCTTTACTGCAGGGTGTTTTTTTCTGTGATTGATGAAGACAAAGTGCTTTGGGGGGCCCAAATGAGGTTCAAAGGTTGAAGTTATTTTTATGTGTGGATGAGGAAACAACTTGTTTAATAAAACACACTGAAAATACTAAAAACATGCCATACCTTTACTCTAGATTTAATAAAACATAAACCTTTTGACACCCTTATCGTAAAAGCAGGTTAGTTATTTTCCTTACCAGATTATTTTTTGCAGACATGCTGCTCTTGCCACGACTCTTCTTGTTGCCGATGGTGACTTCATATTAAACGGTGACAGAAACAATACAAAATACCGATAGGGATCATCTCTGTAATTAACAATAACATGTTGTCCCCCTCCTGTGAGGCGCGAGTCCGAGCATATTTGCTTCCAAATATAAACTGTGCTGCTTTTTTGATTCTGAGAATTGGGACGGCATCACACATCTGCAAGGTCCAGCTGTCAGCTTGTTCCCCTGACAGACCATCAGCAAAATAGGCTTATAGAGATGGTGACATTCATCACAAACAGCTGCGGGCGGACGGATGATGGGCTTTTCTTCTGATCCTAGCAGATGCACACATACGATCATCCAAAGACATTTACTAACCAGGCTCTCACTTTGCTCTACAGCTGTTATTAAAGAAACACAGCTCAGCAGAGACGTTCATCTCACAGGTAACAGGGAGGGTAATGGTAATGTAGGGAGCTACACAAGCAGGTTTAAGGGAAAACAGAAGAGCCATTAGTATAAATATCAATTCAGGTTTTTACATTTCATGTCAAATAGAATAACACATAAAGGGAAAGGTTATTTTCACCGACTTTCTAGTGCACTGAAGGAAATGCCTTGTGCAGTGATGTACAGCTACTGTAAGGGTGAGGGGAAGACTTTATCTCCGTTCTGTGGGGTAAAACTTTGAGGAGTTTGTCACAAAGCAGACTCATTGCTCAGTCAGACGATGCAAAGGTAATTTAATTATGACTGACCCAGTGTGAAGGAAAAGCGAGCTTTAGCTAAAATAATTGGATACCCAGCAGATGTGTTCCACCTGACCAATTCATTAGCCCTGTCAAAGCAAGCTGGGTGTTGGGTTTTAAATCGCTTCAAAAGAAGCCATGATTTCAAGAAATTATTTCAATCCAACCAGCTTATTCTCACCAGAAGGCCTTGAATCCTAATCTTGTATTCCCAATAAAGTTTTAAGAAGCGCACACCTCTAAGAAAACACCAACCAGCTCATCTCACAGTAACGCGATGCTCACTCCTTGTCTCGGCTGATATTTTGAGAGAATACTTTATCATCAGAGTTGATGATCAATAAGTGGACACATGAAGCCTGCTGCTGCTAAAAAGTACCACTGGATGCCAAAAAGTGTGTATTCATCACGTACTGTGAAACTTAATACAGAAATCAATGCTTGCAGGGCAGCAAATGTTCAATCAGTCGCTGCGCGCTCCTGCTCCATGTAAATTAAAGACCAATGTGTAAAGCTTTGGCCATTATTTGCTTATTTATTTACATCTTATCATTTATTCCTTTTATTTTCAGAACATTCTTGACTTTTCCACGTATACACAAGCTTTTATCGCTGGCCTTCTGACATCTAAAAAGCTCTCTGGTCTAAATTACAAAAGCAGAAACCATTCAACCCACACTCACTTTTCGCATCTACGACGCAAATGTACACACCTTTAAGTACATGTTTTATGCAGCTATTTTTATTTTTATACATATTTTAAAGGACATATGGAGTAGAAACAGCATAACTAACTTTGTCTTTTAATTAAAGCCCACCATGCACGCACTCATTCGATGGAGTGTTATATAATAGCTGCAACACACAGCTGTTCTGCAACATGTCTATGTTTAATGTGTTGTAGCTCTCCAGTGTCCGAGGCTTTGATGTGGCTGTTCTGTTTGTGTTCTGACTGCAGGAGTCCAGGTGGAACTACCTGTTTTCTTTCCTGGCATTTCCAGCAGTGCTGCAGCTGTGTGTCCTACCCTTCCTCCCCGAGAGTCCCCGCTACCTGCTGATGGAGAAGAAGGACGAGGCAGGAGCAGAGAGAGGTAGACAGCACTCTGTCAAATAGATTTGCATGATGCACACAGGCATTACATTAAGGGGAGCTGCAGGTATCGCAATCTGCTTTAATGTACTAAAATAATCTTTTCTCAATCTTATTCCCAAAACATATATCTTTATGTGAAAGATGTATATGGCTTTGTGTGACTCCTGAAGTCTAGCTGGGACTTTTGTATTTTAGATTCTCTATATTTTATGGAACCATTCAGACACAAATGACCTTTTACTGTAACACCTTTTCTACTATTCATTTCAGCCAGCCCCAGTTGTGATTTTAAAAAAAATCTCATTTAATATTCAACATGTTTTATGGTCCATTGCACATTCTTTTATTAACCTCATTGAGATTTTAAATCTACCTGGTTATAAATAAAGTTTAGAAACCTACAAAATTTTTAAATCTCAAACTTCTTTGAGGACCCAAACGCCTCTGATGAGATGCCATGTATATTAAAGATCACATAATATCAACATGGAACTGCTGGAAACTACAATTACAGAGATCTGCTGTGAATTAAATTTTTTCCTTTGTTCAGATCTGATGGCACGAGGCTAAAAACAAATATTTTTCAAAATGTAACAGGGACACGTCCCCCTTCACACAAAACTACTGCGAAAATAAATATAAGGCTAAATTAAGTTACATTCACATCATAAATCATTTGGTCTGACTGTGAGCCTATGTTGCCACATCATTTTTTTTTTGTTGCTCTACTGCAACTTTCTCTAACTTTTAAGCACTTGAGATCTGTTTTAGGTTTTATGTACTTTTGCTTTTTTAAAAGTCAGAAAGTCCATCTTTCTCTCTGTCCGTATTTCCAGCTTTCTAAATGTGTACCTATCAGTGCTGAAGCGAAGGAGTCACGTGATTTCTTCTCACAGCTCCAGAAACATATAGGGGAGACGGGACTTTGATCAGTTTTGTCTCCTGGGTTATTTGCCTTGTTTGATGTCCTTGTCCATACATTATCAATGGAAACTCGCATGGATCGCCTTCGCTCTTCGTAACTGTGAACGCTACGGTTGTGTCATTTCAACATAACACGGTTATCTCAGTGAGAGAAAACTTACCTTTGAGGTTCAGAATTAACATAAGGAAATCTGGTAAGTTGAATTATTTCAGTAGTTTTGCAGTTTATCAAGTGCAATTTCTGCCATCTTTATTTACTTACTGCACTCATTCATTTTGTGCTCATTTCTTCATTTTGAAAATCTTTACTGCTTAGAATTGAGGAAGAATTGAATGAAAAAGAAATATTTTAAATGTGGATTTAGAAAATGTTTCTCAGTATTCATAAGGATGCTTCAGCTCCCAACTCAGTAACAAAAAAATTGAAAATACAAAGAGAAGAAAAAGCAGATATTCACTTGGTCAGTAAGTAAAAAGAAAAACAAAAAACAAACAAAACTACATAGTTTTATTTATTCTGAAATTTACCATTAACATACTTTAATCTCTTCTTTTATTTTTCTTAGGGTATAAATGTCTATTTGTCATGTTTGCAGGCTAGTAGAGGAACTCAGAGTTTTTTAAAATAAATAACTCGCAGTTAGTTGGAACTACGGTAGAAAACGAAGCTGAAAGCAGCAAGAGATAATGAAAACCAAAAACTTAAATTAACATTTTTCCAAACGGTATAGGTTTGGAAACAGTACAACTAATATCATTCGATATTAGGGTTAGGAGGTGCAGTCGATGTTATTGATTGAATAAGAAAAAGTTTATTACATTTGTCTACTCCGACTTTGGGCTGGAGCTTAATCAAATTCTGTTGCTGCAGATCTGCTTTGGAACAGACAATCCAGACTTTTATTTAAAAAAATTGAAATAAGGAAGGAATTGTTGATTAATAATGCAATCTTATTAACGAAGCTCCTCCATTTTCTTTGAAAACATAATCCTTTGAACTTTCTAAAACCTTTCTCCTTTGGAATTAGCGACATTGGTTGCAACTCAGTGGAGCGTGTTTATTTATACTGTCCTCTCCCATTGTGCTATTTGTGTTTCATTGCTTCCGTCACCAAATAAATTATTCCAGCCTGGAGTTATTTCAGCATATTTGAATTGAAGGAATGAAGGGATGTGCTCTTTGTCCTTCTGATGGCTCTCACTGAAACGCTTCACTTTTCTTTCTTAACACTCTTGAAGGTTTTCTTAATGCACTCACTTGCTTCCGTGTTGTGATTTATTTTCATGAAAAATGAATCACTGGAAATGACTATCTATAATTTAAGGACATCCAGCTTGACACCCTGTCATCCTAACCAGCCAACATTTTGCTGGCACTAGCCTGGACTCCCATGCTGCAGTTGGCATGTGTTTCTGCGCCGTGGATGAGGGACTTGTTGTCAATGCTCACAGATCTTGTTGACGGACTCCGTGGTGTCCCATTATCATCACAGAGTGTGAGACAGGAACAGCATGTTCTCTTGCTGTCCAAGTTGTTTTCCTGTCAGGCCACATAGCTGCAGTGGTCCTGACCACAGACTAATGCTCTCAGAGTATAAACATGAGTACAAATCTGCATTACAGACGGTCAATATAATTGGCGTCGCTGTTTTTTCCCCAATTAATTTCACAGTGCTTGCTTTTTCTCCTTGTCCATCCGGTATTTTGGTTTTACCAATGCAAAAGTGTTTCCACTTTTTACTCATTTTTGATTCAGTTCAAATGTTTAGCAGTGTTGTAGGCTAAAATGCTGCCTAACATTCGATTCATTTTTATAATGTCGATATGTACAGTATATACAATAAAACAATGTATATACGTTGTCACATACATCTCTGGGAAAAATATATGGTATATGTTTGAATAAAATTGACATGCGAAATGGTCAAAATAGCAAAACAGATGCAAATAATGCAAAGAAAACAAAATCATATTAATTTAGAAACAACAATACTAATGTTTTAACTAAGGAAGAGTTCAGAGATCAATGTTTGCTGGAAAAACCATTTCATTCTGAGCTGTATGTGACATTATTCTTTTAGTTTTCAGCCCTCAAACATAATTACATGTGCAGTTTTTTTCCTGAAGACATTCTTAACACAACTGACAAAAGGAAGAAATGGATTTATGCTACAATACACAAAACTATATGGTTGACACTTTCTGAAATTTTTGCTGGGGTTACAGACTCTTGGCAGAAAATTCTCAATTTTACCAAGTCGGCTCTCTTGCGCCATTTCCCATTTTGCAACAAAGATCATCGTTTGGACAGCTGGGTGCTGCCGACTCTCCTTTCTCTGGAGAAAACGCAAAACCATCAAATCATTACCTTACACCCTAATTGATTCCTGCTAGCTTTTGAATATCTTTGTTATTCTAACCAGCTACTGGTGTAGATTGAAAACAGTCGCCACCTTAACACATAAATCAGTTTATTCCGACTGTCTAAATTGTTTCTCCACCTTCTCATTATGTGTTTGAATTGCAATACAGGATAATTAGAAGGTCATTAAGTCTGCAGGATTATTTTAAACCTCTTTGTTGACTGACATCAGTTCAGCTTATGAATTCAGCGTGGAGCCTGGCTGTCCTCCTGTGAGGGGGAAAAAAAACGGCGTGTCCAACAAACATCAATATCCCGTCATTGACATGGACAGCCCCAGCGTGACTCTGCAGATTACCATATTTTCTATCAGCAGGGAAGAGCAGTTACATCAGTACATGTGTGATTATCAACACATTGAAGAAAGATTTTCCATAAGCCTGTTTCTTTTTTCGCCACTGATTAAAGAACATTCTTAGATTAAAACTCTCCACTGAAAGAGAGATTAGAGTTTATTTCCTCTGTAGGTTTTCTTTACAGGACCATCTACATCTACTGCATTAAAGCGTATCTCTCTCTCTCTCTCTCTCTCTCTCTCTCTTTATATATATATATATATATATATATATATATATATATATATATATATATATATATATATATATATATATATATATATATATATATATATATATATATATAGATGCCAGCATATATATATGCTGGCATTCAGTCAGACTCTAAACACACACACTCACACTGTCCTTGTACTTTCCAATTACTAGACCACACACTGGGAGAACTTGAGCCTGGTTTTGTGTTGGCAGCTCTTGTATCTTGTGTGGTCAAGGTCCACACCATCGCATCCCAATGAACCTGCTTTTTGGTCCCCTCTGTTTTCAAAGATTTTCTATTCTGGGTTGTGTCCTTAACCTTGGTCCACCTGAGTTTTTCTCACAGCCTCAGGAATTCACCTTTAGGGGCGAAAGGATCAAAAATGCAGGGAGAGGTGCCTTTATAACCTCTTCTTTTCTCTAGCGCTGAGGTGGAAATGGCTGCCAGAAACCTGGTCAGCTCTGCCTCAATAAGAAATAAGTGTGAATTTCTGCTTTTTCCCTGGGGTTTAGAAATGGCACAACTGTAAACAGCAATTTTTTGATGTCAGTATATGCTAAATCTGACTGTTTTAATGTGATAAAATGCTACAGAACTATTCAGATCAGAAACATTTTTTCCCTAAAACTTTGTTTGGCATGTTAAGCTGACATCCTGCAGGAAAAGCAACATGAACTATTTTGCAGGAGCATCTGCTGGGTCACAATTTCTAGAAATATCCTGTGAAAATATTTAAATGGGATGGCAAATACTAAGTAATGTCTGTTGATAACCAAATGGAGTCTCTCCAGACTTACTGAGAGGGGGGAAAAAACATACATCATTCATAAATAAAATGATTTTTCACTTTAAGCAATTTGCTTTTGGATTGGTATTCTGTGCTCACATGTTTATAATTCATGTAATTTTAACCAGAGGATTTGCATGTAACCTAGGGACATGTTTAAAGCAACCATCCTATCAAGTATCAAGTGTACTTAAATCGACTTCAGAGTAGAGTTCAATAAACGATATGGCATTGAATCCCCCCTTAAGCAGTCGCGGTTTAAATGAGCCTCTCCCTCTGCCCTATAAAAGGAGTAATTTCCAATTTCATTCAGAAATCTGAGCTCAGATAAAAATAAAAAATAAAAAAATCATTTTCCATAGATTGACTATAAAACGTGCAGATGGATTTAGACTTGGAGATCACAATTTAGAACCAACAATAGATTTATAGCTTTTTACTTGTACTTATTCCTCCTGCTGGAAATGTGTGATAATGCATTTTGTAATGGTTGGATAAAATATTCCAACCACATTCTCCAAAATGAGGGCAGTCGATGATGTGAATTACTTCGATGTATGATTTGACCAATCTGAAGAAAAAAAAAAATTATAATAAAGGGGATTTTTACATGATGATTGCAACATAACCCAGCATTTAAATTCCACTAATCGCTGCAGGAAGCGCGCCGAGTCAATCGCACTGCAGTAAAACCTAATTTCGTGTTGAGGATATTTTAGAGGAGGCATTTCAGCAGAGGCAGAACATGACAGAAGTGAAATGCAGCCTCAGGATATTCACACTTTAAAGAAATCCCACTGCGTTTTTATGTAATTACACAATGATCTGTCATTTGCTGCTCCAGTGAGTGTATATAAATAAATAAATGAATGAATAAATAAGGGTTTTTAAGAACAAAGTATATGTGATGGAATATGGATTCAACAGCTATGCCTTTTTCCCCCCCCTTTGACATTATTAGTCATATAGTTGTGGAGGAATTTATGGCCTAATTTTCTTTTTTCTTTTTATTTTTGAGTTCATTGATATTGGCAGACATTTATTCATGAACAGATCCTCTCAACCTTACACAGTCTGAGTTTGGGCTGAGTGATCAGGGATGCTACACTCATCTATCTGAACACACCAACACTCATGTCTGTACATCTATATGCAGATGAGTTGGAAACGTGGCGTTTCGTGTCCCACCCAAGACACTTTCCCATGGGGGAAACTGAAATTGAACTTAAAATCTTCTGGCTAGAAGATTGGTCACTCTTCCCACTGATCCACAGCCGTCACAATCAGCTGAGCTTGAAAGCGTCGAAAATCATCTCTGGTGTCCTTCCGACTTAGCATTGTGCCAATTTACTTCCTGTGAAGTGTGTACTCTATTTAGAGACACTCTCTTATGCAGGAAAGCAGCAAATTTGTTTTGGCTCAGTTTATTATGAGGACTGCGGATGTGGACAAGGAATCAAGATATCGTCCTGACTAAATTAAATCACTCAACGATTATGCGCAGAAATGGTTTAAGGGATATTATTACTTCACACGTTAGTTTATGTCATATTTCTGTGTGTGTCCCAAAGGGAAGAGGAGATTCACAAAATGGAACAATTGCTGACCCTAAATGTCAGCTCTGCAGGTGACACTCATCCACATGCATCACATCTGCAGGTGAACCACCGTGTCGGTCAGGAAATGTGGAAACCACACGCGCTGTAGAAATGTCCATGACATGTTGTCCTGCTTCATGACATGAGCCAGTGTTACTGAATAAACAGTGTGAGCTCAGTCAAAGGTAATAAATCAACCTTTCTTTTCCATGGTTTCCTTGCAGGGTGTCCTCTGACCCTATCCCTGGACACATTTTATCACCCTATTGATTAGGAGGAAGGATTGTCTCCTAATTGATCAGCGCCTTTGTCCCTCGTTAAAATGTCCTTGCACAGGAGGCTGAATCTTGATTTACCTCCTGTAGGTCATCAGACTGTGATTCTGTATCAGATAAAGAGAAGCACTGCATAGTCTACAGGACCATATTGATTAATGTCAAAGCCATCTGTTAAATCCTTTCATTTACTCAAGTGGGTTTAAATATGCTTATTTTGTTACTTCATTATTTCATGTGCAAGGGAAAATTCACAGGAAAGGTTAAAGCAAGTAAATAAGCATCGTTTGCACTGGTGCAAATCACCTGGTCACTTGTGAAATCACCTGTTTGCACTTTGATTGGAAAAGAAAAGAAAGGTTTTAAAGAATTGATAAAGAAGAGAAAGTTCCCAATAGCAAAGGACCAAATTCTCAAATATGAATCTGAACTGCTGCCCATCTAAAAAAATATAATCTTGAAACAAAATCACCTGAAAGCAGGATTTCAATGAGACTAACTTGAGTAGATGGGTGTGGAGCAAAATATATTGGAGATGGTCTCATGCAGAATGACATATATAGGTCAAACCCCGACAGGATGCAGTAGGGGTTTGGTTTGGGACTCGTACTAAAAGAGGAGCTTGTTGAACCCACTGCAGTTAAAGATGGACTAATGATGTCTTTCTAATAGCAGTTGCCACTTCTGGGACATGCTTAGAAGAAGACGTTCACATTCAACGTTTAAACGAAAGCAAAAGAATAAAAGATTTCTGCTGGTAGCTTTGGACTATTTCGATCACACATTTTGGAGCTCAGAATCCATTTTGCTGTCCGATACAAATGGTGTGGATTTTGATATGTTTTTATTTATGGTGTGGTAGCAGATTTAAATCGGTAAACCTTGTGTTCCTGTGACATGTTGGGTAGCTCATTCACCCATCAGTAGACTTAAATTTTACGATGGATGTCTGAGGAATAACCTTACGGACTAAGTCTAACAGCTGTGTCACATGGACTCTACAAACTTGCACAATTCTCTGTAAAAATTGAAAAAGAATAATTTCCTCAATCATCGCATTGAAGGTTTGAATGTTGAAGCCGCAGAAGACACATTCACATTCGATGTATTCCAATTAGACATTCCAGTTCTAAGAGGCAGCTCTGTTTGTGAGAATATACGATGTTCTCACTTGCTGTGCAACTCATTCCCATTTATCTTTAATCCCAGCATGACGGCTGTGATTGATGGTTCTTGCTCTCTCGGTATTTATGACACTGTGTGTGTGCGTGTCAGCTTTTCAGAAGTTTTTGGGGAAGACGGATGTGTCCCAGGAGCTGGAAGAAGTCCACGCGGAGGCACGAGCTCAGGACAACCTGAACACAGTCTCTGTGTTGCAGCTGCTGAGGAGCCCAGCTGTTCGCTGGCAGCTCTTCACCATCGTCATCACTATGGCTTGCTATCAGCTCTGCGGACTCAACGCTGTAAGATGTGGCCCATGTGTTTCATCAGGTTTTCCGTTCAATGCTGTTTTATATCCATTATTTAGGTGTTTTTGTGTACCATGTTCTCAATTTTTCATAGTGAATTAAAACTGCATGCTATTTAAAAGGATTAGTGACGCATTTGTGTAATCTACCAAAAAAAATGTATTTCTTCTCTCCGGACATCCCTCCAGAAGATACTTTGTCACAACATGTTAGGAAGCTTTAAAACTCAGTCCACTGACAGGATGACAAGAGAAATGAGTCACTATATTGCCAAAAGTATTCACTCATCTGCCTTCACTCTCATGAGTTGAGAGACATAATCCTAATCCATAGGGTTTAGTAGGGTGTCAGCCAGTCCTTTGCAGCTATAACAGCTTCAGCTGCTCTGAAAAGATTTTTCCTACATTTATGTAGGAAAACAGTACATTTATGGGAACATTATAGTAAAACAGTAAAACAGTACATTTATGGGAATTTTTTTTAAAAAACCTTTTTTTCCCTAGAAGCATATTTATGAGGTCAGGCACTGATGTTGGATGAGAAGGCCTGACTCAGTTTCTGTTCTAATTGATCCTAAAGTTGTTGTATTGAGTTTAGGACAATCAGGTTTTTCTAAACTAATATACTTCATCCAGGTCTTTATGGATTTTGCTTTGCGGACCGGTGAGCATCCCTAACTCCTCCCACAAAGCAGGAATTTAGCCAAAATGTCTCAGTGTGGTGACGTTTTAAATTTCTTTCACTAGGTAAAGCCGGACTGCTGTAAAACAGCTTCGTGTTGTGTGGCACCAAATCTTACGTCTGACACAATACAATCAGATTAGTGCTGTTCTTCTGGCCATTGCTGACCTCAGTCCCGGTCATTGTATTACCAGACAGCCTGATTTGCCACTTGGATAAACATGTTTCCTCTGCAGTAGAGTCCAGCGGTAGCATGCGGTTGGTGATGTGAACCTCAGATACAGCTGCTTGGCCATAATAACCGATTAAATGCAGATGTCAATACAACATTCTCAAACTAATCCAAGGAAGTTCACGCAAGGTTTGAAGGTCTGCAGCTTTTGACTCTGCAGAATGTTGGCAACCCTAGTGCACCATTAGCCTCAATATCTCAGTTTACTGTGGGGTGTTTTGTAACAAGAAAATATGATGACTAGACTCATTGCACAGGAAGCATCCTATCATGGTGCCCTGGAATCTGCTGAGACTGATTTATCTTTTACAAACATTCAAAGAGACTTTCTGCATGCCAGGTTGCTCAATTTTATATATATTTAGCCATGGAAGTGACTGGAACGCTAGAATTTAATGATTTGGAGGGGTGACCTAATATTTTGACTAAAATAATGTATTTTTACTTTATGGAAATTTCATTGTGTTTTGTTTTTAAGGAATAATTTGCTCTGTTGTTGCACTTTTAGCAGTAGTCAAAGGATTTTTGGTCGATAATAGGAGTTAAGCTGTTGGCTTTGTGACCGTCCCACTAACATATCTGAGTTAGAATCGGCCTGGTAAAAGCAAACGCACTCGCGTCAATATTTCTGCAGGCATTCCAAACAATTTAATAGTTCAGCAGAGGTGCTGTATTGGACAAAAGAATTACATGACAGTTGATTTTCTACTCAGCTGCTCAGATGTGCTGCCCAATTTATGTCGTAGAAGTGACAAAAACATCAGAAATCTCTCGACAGGGGGTGGATCAGGTGTGGCGGCACAACGTTTTTTCATACCTTCCCTTGGGAAATCTATGTTCACAGTTGTGACAGCAAATGAGAGATTTCTTCCAAAATATGTCCTTTCTCTGCTCTCAACCCAAGATAAAATCCAAGGATAAAATAGGTTATGGTTGTGTATTTTCTTTGAATGTCCATCAGGAAGAGCGTGTAAAAACGCAAACCCAATCATCTGAAATTTGGTGGAGAATTGTGACATGAACGAAGAATTTATTTTTACCTTTGAAAATGTGTATTTGGGAAAAAATTGTTTTCCTCCTTTAGGGTGAAAGTTAAGGAGCAGTTTTTCCCTGTGACTAGAGGTCGTACTCTCTCCATGTTTGATCATTATGAATCAGAATTTTAGCAATTTATAATCTTATCCAGTTTGGATAGAAAGCATGAGCTTTCTATCGATCCAGTGCTGCCCAATGATAATGAATGTTTCCCAAAGAATTGAAAGATACCTGTACATTTATCTCTTTCACAAACCCACAGAGGCCAAATAAACTCCCACATGCTGGCAATGAACATTTATTGCTGCAGCATTTCAGCACTAAACAGTCGTTCGGCACTAGACCGTCATCAGGCGATATACAGTAAAGGTTTTTGCTTGATGAAGGCTGGCTACTTTCATACCACAACAATAACTCTTTATTACAAATTTAAAAAAATGTGCAGAAGCTTGTCCTGATGCAGCTGCTCGCCGTTTTCCATTTACATCACGTACAATAAGGAAACAATCCTCCTGCAGGAGAGGTGTGTCCTTGCATTGCACCAGCAGTTGGGTTCTGAGCTAAGCAGCAGCATGTTGTGATAGCCAATCACTCACAAAGCAACTTAATCATCTGGAAAGGCACTGCTGCAATGTTCAAAGCTTGACCTCGATTGAAATACAGACACTTTGGTGTATAAGTGTGTTGTAATTGCTTCTCCCTTTAAAGTTTTAATTCTCCAATAACCTTTGCCCTTTCTCATGTTACCACCACATATTTTATTGCATGGCACATCAGCCAGTCTGACTGGAGAGCATCTATGAACATTTGTTTTCACATCTTACCTCACATTTTCAATTGGGTTTGGAATTGAACTAACTCTGGGCCATTCTGACATGTGGATATTTCTGATGAAACTATCACGCTGTAGTTTTAGTCATGTGTCTTTGGTGTGGCTGGTAAACTTCTGTCCCAATTCCAAGTTTTTGCAAGCTCTAAACAAGTCTAAGTTCAGGCTTGCCCTCTGTATAGCGGCATTTGTCTTCTCTATCAACTCTCAGAAACTTCTCTATCCCGGCTGAAAAAAAGCACTTCTTCCACATGACGATGCTGCATATTACGATGCAGTGTCGTAATATACCCAAGATAAAACCCACGGATAAAATAGGTTATGGATTTTCTTTGAATGTCCATCGAGAAAGGCGGTGAAATAAAATGCACATACTAGTATTTTTTGATGTTGATTTGTAAATAAAATATATATAGTACTGACTATTCTTTGTTACCTTGCGTAAGTCTGTTAAATAAAATCCAAATAGAACACAATAGAGTCAGATTTAGCCATAGCTAAATGGGAAAAGGCTCCAAATTGCATGTGGCTAAAATTTCTGATCAAAAACCTTGTTAAACTTGCCAATAAAAGGATGATGTGCCTTTCAATCCAGGGACATAAGATCCAGTTCAATCTGGAACGGTGCTGTTTAGTTCCTCTCTGTGTCTCTCCAAATTGCTCCCATCAAGGACGAAACAGTTGAATTGACTGGAAGGATGAATATCTGTGGGAGTGGAAACTGACGGTGCTTAACTGACTATTTCAGGATCAAATTTCTATATTTGATATGCTGGTGGAAATGTCAGTAATTTCCATTTAAGCAAGAAATGATGAAACTGATTCAAAAAGTCAAGGAGAAGAAGATGACCTAATATACACACATTTCCTTCCAACAGAGACAGGAATGTAATTTAGATTCCTGACGGGTTTTATTGGAAACACGTCGCCGTATTCATAAATGTCCGGCAATTTCAGTAAATGCCACAGACTGGAATAATTTAACTGTGTCCCAGGTACTTAATGTTCTCTACAATATCAGTATTTCATCCTGTTTGTGCTTCTAATCCCAAAAAACAGTTACTGAAATCATTTGCAATGTTGGTTTGGATAAATGATGAAAGCTTTTAGAAAAAATTCATAATTTTTTAAAATAGGATATGTGTCTGAAGTCTGAAAATTACTCCAGGTCACAAACAACAACAAAAAAAAGCAAACGTTTTGAGGATGATCACTTTTTATCATCCGGTTGATCTTCGGTATTTGAGCTTTTAACTATTCAGACATCTTATCTTAATTTCGAACCTCATTGATCTTGGTGTTTATCGCCTTATTGGATGTTTTGATGTCAAGAACTCCGTCTGAGTAATCTGTCTTTGCAAGATCTAATCTCATTGCCAGTCCCGGTTTTACGCCATTTTCTTCTCAATTAGTTCAAGGGTGATAAAAATCATAACAGAGAATAATTCTCTAAGCTCTAAGACTAAAGACATGACAGACATTGTTGTAGCAAATCCCATCAGGATTTTGTTTTTAAAACATTAAACACTTTATTGATGAATAAATAAAGCTATCAGTCAAACGTGATTTGTTTTCTTGCAGATCTGGTACTACACTAATGGGATCCTGCGGGAAGCAGGGTTTGCAGAGCACTTACTCCCCTACGTCACCCTGAGCACGGGGGCTACAGAGACTCTGGCCGCCATCTTCTCTGTGAGTACGCCTGATGCCTTTATTTGTTTAAACTCAACGCAGTTCTTTTTATGGCGCAGAAATTGAAATATTGAGGTGAAAAGAAGTTGACTCAGGTTGAAAGGAGGTGATTCTCGTGTATTTTATTCATCTCCTGTGAATACTCCAGTGTGCTCAAAGACACTGCTGCTGTTAGACATGCAGGAATTAGACTCAAGCTACTTCAAATATGATCATTTCATTTTCAAAACTGAACTCAACAGTCTGAAGAAATTCGGTTTGGTATCCTCTGTGCTCTGGTTAGACAATAACACATATTACGGTTAATAAATGAGGCGTCAAAGATGTCAGAGTGAAGAAGTAATTCATGCTAATTGATGTCAGTGTTACTAATGTCACAATTGAAATATATAATCACATAATTACAGAAACCGAAGGTCGTAATTATGCCCACCTCTGCACAGTTTGGCTGTCAGATCCAGAAATTTAATAAAAGGAAAATAGTCTTTTAATTTAAGCATGTCTATATACAACTAGATGCTGTTCCTGTTGTTATCTATGTTGTCATCACAACATAGCTTTTAAAATGCTTGAAAAGTTTTTTACTCATTGCAATTTCAGGAGGTCAGGGGTTAGAGCTGCTGCTGACTGACTCATCTGTTAAGTCAGGGGTCCACAAAGTGGGTCTCTGTCTCTCTATTTTTTGAAAACCTACTTTACTATTTTTCTTAACAGTGACTGCCACAGTCGCTCTTGTCTTGTACTGACTGCTGCTGAAAAGCGCAAAGCAGGAATGAACTATTTCATGCAGATCCAGGGGATGTTCAGGGTAAATGTGTGCTTTTTTTGGTCTGGGATTGATTTTACTGCTAAAAACAATCTTAGAAAACACAATGTCATAAATTTTAGAATTGAAAGGGCTCCATATTCCCCCTTATACGGCACCCCTGCTGTAGAGTGACATTAATGGCCATTGGTAAGAGCTGCAGAAGTAACTGCAATATGTGGCAAATTTTACATCCTTCACAAATACCTCAAATACTCGTTCTTGCAAAGTTTTAATGCTTTTATAATATGTAGTGCAAAATATAAAGTACATGGTACAAATTACTTTTATTATGTGGAACTCAGCTGTCCCAAACCTTTACTATGGATGGCAAAAGGAGATTCTTCCATAAATCCACATTATTTTTAATAAACATATTGATATCTATATCAGTCCATGGAGTTGTCCAAATTCACTCTTAAAAAGGAACAATCAAAAAAGTTAAATATTAATTTTTTGTAATTCACCACAATTAATAGTGCGAGTATATTTACAATACCAAGTGAATTGCTTTATGGGATAAATTCACCCCAAATAAACATCAATAATTTATTAGGTTGTGTCAACACTGAAACCTGACCTCTGCCAGCTAATTTCTGGTTGCTTACTTGTCTCCAGTTACTTATGCTCAGTACAAGCAACTCTAACAAGTACTGCCACCTCTTCAATAAATCTGTTCTCATTCATATGTTTTAGTTTTTAGGTTGCCAAAGCGCCTTAAATATTGTGACTTTAAACAGCTATTAATATCACATTTTCAATCATAGTTTCATCCAAGATTAAGCCCTAATAATCTTGGGGCTTAATCTTCATTTGGCCCTGATGTGATTCTGCCAAATGTTAAATCTGACTCCTGACTTTGGATTAAAACTGATTCTATGAGTCCAAAGAACCTGGAGCAGGTTCTGAGCCTTACTAAGAAAAATATATAACAAAATGTCTTATGAAATTTAGATCTAATGAAAGTGAGAGACATGGTTTTTAAATTAGACATTAGTTTATCTTCATTGTATAGCAGATTTCTTTTGGCACTTTTCCCTCCAAAGGCAAGTGTTTCTTTTTTCAAACAGAAGCACTTAAGGAAAAGCAGTGGGAAATGTTCCCTGTCATCTCCCCTCATTAAATAGGTATATTACTCCTCCTGTGGGATCCTCAGCATTTCTGTGAGTCTCGCGAACATTTGCACATTAGATACAGTCTTTGATCTTTGAAAGATCAAACCTGAACTGAGTCACTCAGGCCTTCCGTAACTTGCTTTCAAGAGCAGCTTGACTGACTATTGATGTCTACCATCCTTCTTTATGTTGCTAAAAATGATGACTCACTAGATAGAACTAATTAAAATGAGAAATTTTATTTATTAATACACTTATGAATTCTGTCTAGCTTTACGTCATTTTATAATGTCAATCCGCCATAAAACACGCGCAGTGTTGCTTTGACTCAAGTCATGTCTGTTTGAGAAACCCTTGAATCTCCTGTAGCTTCAGTGAGAATGATTTGAATTGTGGCTTCAGACGGTTCAAATGGCATCAGTAAGAAGCTCTCACTTGGTTTCAAGATGCTGTTTTGTTTAATTTAGAAAGCAATATTCAGTGTGTGCATTTTTGATTTTGAATGCACCAGAAGAAACGCTTCTGGTGCCACTGTTTGCTGGATTCCAGAAACAGTGGCTTTCCATTACAGGGACCTTCCAAAATTCCCAACAAACACTTCTTTCACACATTTAACATGTTTTTAAATAATAATTAAAAAGATCAATTGTGGGCCAAAGAAAAGCTTTTCTGAGTGAGGTGACTTACTTTGGCCTTGATGTGATTCTGCCAAGAATCTGTAAGGAAACATGAGCAGTGTGTTGGCATCCTCCAGTTTGGATTTAATGAGCTTTGGGAATACTCTGGCTCCTTATGGGCTGACCCAGAACACACCATCTTTTTCTGGTATTCCCCCATCATGTACAATAATATATGTCTGCTTCCTTTTGTTCTCCACCAGACTGTCTTTGAAAATAGAGCAAAGTATATTTATCTTGCTTTCTTCTTTTTTCATTGAGTGAGCATTGATTACAGAGCTATGGCTCTTTTTCTTTTGCCCTTTGCCCTCCTATTAAATTTATATTTGGTACATTGACTGCTCTGTTGTACAGAAGGAAAGGCTTTGGATCTTTAAATTGTGTTTGTGTTCGTTTTCTTCATTGGTTCTAATCATTTTGCTCCAAAAGCATAGACGACTATAGAAATCTGTCAAAAGATTTGATTTGTGAAAAGGCTCATTAAAAAACTAACTTTTTAAAAATCCGTATTGGCCCAACAAGAGGGAACTATTTTCAGGCTGTGAGTAGGCAAAGTTTGTCCTTCTGCCAGAAATACAATTTGTTTCCCCCCTTCCAGCTATTTTACCGCTTTATCTTTTCAGATGACTAAATATGTCAAATAGTATTTTGAGACACCAGCATTTCTGTTCCATGAACCAAAATGCCATAAATATGAGATTTCTATTTGAATAGTGTTTTCCCATTTGAGTTATGCAGATGAGATTGAAGACAACTGTATTGTTGGTGTTTTTGTTAATCTGACTGACATATGATATGAACATGTTTATGTGGGTGTGGAGAAATTTGCAGGGATTTAATGCAGTGTAGATTTAGAAAAGCTTGCATTCAGCTGCGACTGTTCACAACAATCCCCCCGCCTCCCCAAAATAAATGTAACAGAAGTATTTTTTGATTTATTATTTACTTGCAAAACTGATCAGTTTCTAGGAAACTCTTATTAGAAATCCATTACTCTGTGTTTCCCTGGGGTATAAATATGTCATAACACAGAGGCCTAATTCTTTTAGCCAGTGGCTCGAGGCTGATTGAGGACACATATTTATCTTGTCACCATGCTCTGCACTCAGGAATGTTTTTTTTTCCCCATCCCCACAAAAGATATTTGAACTCTGAAATGCGCTTTCAATGCTGACGAACCTCCCTTTTGAGTTTTTAAGTCTTGCGAACATCATTAGACATTACAATGTAAATTTGAAAAAAAAAAACACTATTTCAAATAAATTTATCTTCTACAATTTCATTTTACCTTGCATATGATCTTCCTGTCTCATGTATCAAGTTTATTGGATCAGTCATATGTTGTTAATCATTTTCATACTATGGTTTGAAATTTGCATCTTAGCTTCTTTTATAACCCTACAGCAACTTATAAAACTAATCATGTCCCATTTTTCCATTTTACAGCTGCAGATTTGAATACATTTAGTTTTGTGATTTTCTGATGGATCAGCTCAAAGTATCAAATGTGAGGTTAATCTCAACATAAATCCAGTTTGTCAGTAAAGTCTCAAGAGATTTCTTAGATAATTTTAGTGAATAAAAGCATCAAGGATAAAGGAACTCAGCAGACAAGTCAGGAATAAAGTTGCTGAGAAGTTCAAAGCCAGACTGGGTTTTGAAAAAAAAATATCCCAAGATTTGAACATCTAACACTGTTCAATTCATCAGCTGAAAATACACAGAGTATGGCACCAAGACATTGCAGTTCACCTGACACAACTGGTCTTAGAAGAAGATCAGTAATAAGAGGTCAAGGGAAGCTCTGGTGGACCTACAAGAAACCAAACTTCAAGTGTGAGAATCTTTCGACAAAAGTGGACTTGGTTGTATTATGGCACTTCTCACAAACTGGAAGAAATGTACTAAAGAAGGCGACAAAATCGTGACCTTGTGCAAAATGCTCTGTGTGGCTCAAAAATAAATAACGTTGAAACATGGTGGTGCCAGCAGATGTTTTTCTTTAGTGTGGACATGGAAAACTGGTTAAATTTGATTTGTAGATGGTAATAATAAGGCAGAATAATCTGGGAAGAAAATCTGTAGAGACTGGAAAAGACTTGAGACAGAGATCCTGTAAGAGTCCAGCTCCAGTCATCAGTGTCCTCCTGCTCCATTTGACACCTGAGTCAAATGGTCCAACTCCCTCCTCCCCTGGTCAATATTCTGCAGAAGTCTACTAATGAACCATCATTTGAGAACTGACTGCGCTAAACATACTGGAACGGTTTAAGTAAAACATATTTGTGCTTTTGAGTGGCCTAGTCAAAGTACACACATAAGTCCATATCAGCAGCAATCTGTTGCAATCTTTGAAAATTTCAGATTTTTACACAAAAAGAATGAGCAAACATTATTGTCCCTATGTAGAAAGCTGAGAGCTGGAGCCCTGAACAGGTTGCAGATTTTAATTGCGACAGAAGGAGCTAAATATAAATCACACTTTTCTGATTTGTATTTTTAAAACAAACAACAAAAAAAACATTTAATACCTTTTGTGATGTCTCTTCCAAAACTGTTACTATTACTGCTTAGTGTGGATCCAACAGCAGCTTGTTCCAGCATAATACGTGCAGAATAAATACTTTTGCAAAGTGCTGCATAGTGAGGCAGCAAAGCAAAGCAAGAAAAAAAAAGAATACTGACACAGTTGTGAACCTTTAAATGCAACATGTTATTCACTGACCTCATGCTCTCTTTTGTAATGCCCCACTGGGCAAAAGCCCTTTCTATGCAGCACGCTTGTCACTATTCGACTGGATAATAAACCAGAGCAGAGGATTTTGTGCCACTCCACATTAATTCACACACTTCCGGCCATGTCGTCACAACCTGGAGCCCGCTGGCACGCCAGAGTTTAAAGACTAACAGGGGATCATAGAATGCGAAAACTGACCTTGTTGTGGTGGTGATGCACGTTATGCGAAGAACAAAAACAATAGGCGACTCAGAAACAAATAGTTATAAGTGGAAAGATTTTCTGTGTTGAGTTGACAAAAAAGAGTGAGTGAAGAGTAGGATAATCATTTTCATTTTGCAGGAAAGGAAGTTTTGGATAATCTGTTCTGCTGATACCGCAGGGCCTAGTGGGACATAAAACAATGACAACGGTAAGCTGCTTAATTTAGCAATAAAGTAAAAAGCTACTTAGTTATACATTTGGCCTGTGATGCAACTTGAGTGTAAAAATGGCCACAACTGCATTGGTAAGCCAGATTTTTGACTGAAATCCTAAAGTAAATGGAAGGCTGGAGTTCCCTCAAGCTGCAGCCAGTTGTCTTAAAATGACTCATCTGCTTCCTGATGTGATGAATTGTGACCACACATTTTAGTCCCTCCAACTGAGAGGCCTGATCTCACCAGACTGTTGTGTCTGTCAAGAAGTAGGATAGAGCACAATCGAGTAACTATGTTGCCTGCAATTATTTAAAATTTTTTGAATATATCAAACATGACTTTAAAGAAACTGAACTTCATTATCTGATGCCTTTAAATTGGCCTTTGTCTTTAAGAAGCTCTCACTTTTTGCGACACTTGGACTCCAATTTCTCATCACGACGGTGTGTTTTATTATGTTCTTTATGAGTATTCTAAGGAAGTGTTTGGATGATAAGCTCAGCAGAAGGAATTTCCACAAGGTGTTAGCTAATTCCTGCTGCCGCTAGTTTTGAGGACCTAAATGGGGGAAGCATGCTACCTGCTGCTGTTGCTAGCAACACTTGAAAGCTGAATGAGTATAATAACTGTTTGCTGTTGAGTAACATCCGAATGGATTCAGAACAATAAATATCTTTTTTGTTTGGTTTATATGTCTTTTTTCAACAATTCAACAAAAATGATTAATGACACCAGCTACTGCAATAGTTGTTGATCAAAATCTGCATCATTTTTGGAAGCCTACAATTAACTCTATTTAAAATACAAAATCATTAATCAAAAGTAACATTAAATAAATGTCATAAACAACATTTTTAGGGTTGCGATATTTATATTAGTTTAGTAGCACCAATGCAACTATTGTTTCTTTCACAGTTATAGAGGCAATGCAATAATGTTCTACATTTTGCTTATATATTTGTGTTATACCATAGTTATTTTTCTACACAAAGTTATCATATGATGAGAAACTCATAGCGACCTATTTCTGCTCACAAGATAACTTTGTCGTTGAATCATCTGGGAAGGAGCAGCGACGTACCTAAAACTCGGAGCCCCGGTGAGGAGTGTGTCTGTAATTGTCTTGTTTTTGTTGGTAAAACAGAGCAGAACTAAAAGAACATCGCGTTTGTCATCTCTCCAGCTGGGTTTTAGTTTAGAGGAAGCTGCTTCTGTCACAGAGCTTTTAGGAAACACAATAATTAATGATAACACATACAAACAGAAATCTCAAATGTTCAACCGGCTTCATGTACATGGAGGACTGAACACTAAATGAAGCAGAAATTCACATGATGACTGTATTTTTTTGTCTCCACTGTCTCGTATGAAGCCCGTGATAAATTATTCAGGTCCACAATAGACAAACTTCTGTTGCCTCCCTAATAAAACTCTATCTCTCTCTTTCACAGACATACATGTATTCAGTCTCATAAATATCCATTCTCGCAAGTCTTCCGGGACCCCTAATGAGCTGTGTGTTAGCTGGCGGTTGATGTTTGTGCAAAGAACGCGTGGTGCTGCGGTGTGGGTAGTGTCTGGGAGAGAAATGTCTCGTGTTCGCGGGGGACAATGCCCACCGGGATGAGCACAGACACACAAATACAGATTCAGGAAATTGAGTAAATTCCACCACATGTAGAGGAAACCCAAATCGAACAGAGGCGCAGTCTGGGGCAGCCCAGCAGGAAAGCGTTAGGCCTCCCAAAATAAAAACCTCCACTCAAACTGATCCATCCCAGTGGAAGAAGGATACATTCTATACAAAGAGCAATAGCTTTCCCCCCCTTCTTCAATCTCATGAAATCCCTCAGGTTCAGAACTATCGGAGTGCTGCTATAAATTCTTAACGTCTCACAGGCAGAAATGAAACAAGGCCAGAAGCTGTAGCTCTGCTAAAGCCCTGACCTCATGCCCACTGCTTGATCTGAAATCCCGAGAGGAGGCCAGGTGACGACTGACGTGGCCTCAGAATTACTGATGAGACGGAGACAGTGTGGTGTATGAGTAAATCCAAGGAAAATTGGACAGGAAGAAAAATAAATAAATCACAGATGAAGGCAGCAAATGTTTTGTTTATAATGATGCCAGGAATTTGCTCCTCTCTCACTCAAAAGGCTTCTTACCCTTGAGAAACAAAGATACATTTTAGCTGCGATAACTGTATTATTATTACATAAAAATAGGAAAATACAAGCAATATACAGAAATAATGTGAAGTTTAAAAAGCATGCAAAAAAAAAACTAATGTTTCGCCTTGGTGACCATCTGGGTCACCTCACTGGGTGTCGTGAGGTTTGGCTATTATTACTGTTAACGTAGAAGACGAACACAAAGGTTTGAGTTTCAGGCTGTTTTTCTACCACTTGTGGCCTTTTCTCTGATGTGAGAAAGAGTCTGAGATGATCTACAAACCACGATGGAAAACAACATGGAAATAAAGGCCGAAACAAGTGGTGACAAAGATAACTGTCATCTTCAAAACCTAATCTTCTGGTCCGAATCAATATCGAGTCCATTTTATTGTGTTTGATTGATTGATTGATTGATTTCCTCACTTGCTGCCCTCTCGTAATCTGCTGTCTTTACCTCAGTTATGACATGTCAGCGCAGCAGTCACACATATGATCTATAAATCCACTCTACAAAATTTACACGAGCTGGATCAGACGACATGCTGTTATGGCTTGTTTATAACCGAATCGCCACAGCTCACCTTGTTCTTCATGTTGCAAGACAAACCTATTTTGGATAATGTCTGAATGAAAGTGAAATCTGTCCATTCTGGTCAATTTCATGACCTACCAGGAGTCTTTTAATGTAGCAATATCTGAAAACCCAGTGCTATTCTCAAAACATAGTTTAGGCATTTCCTGCAGCCATGAAGAATAAAGCTAAACCTCGATGAAACTAAATAATAGCACTGCTTTGTGTGTTAGACATATCAAAGCTGCATTGTAGCTTTGATATGAAGTCTGAGTCAGGTGTGTAGACTGCAGAAGCTTGTTTGATTTACATTGAAATAACTAAACAAATATTCAACTTCTCTTTTATATAAAGACAAACTGCATTTTTTACTAATTTTCAATCTTTTTCTTTTCAAAAACAGCAATATGAAGCAAAATGGCATTATATCTACTATCTTTAAAGCGTTTGAAATTGCCGTGCCTTGGATTTCACATTAGTTATCAATAAATATTACCTTATTTTCTGTTCGTGTCTCATCGTTAGGGCCTGGTGATTGAGCGGATTGGGAGAAGACCCCTCCTTATCTTTGGTTTCTCCTCCATGGCTGTATTCTTCAGCCTGCTGACAATTTTCCTCAACTTCCAGGTGAGCCATTTTTCTACTCTGCAAGCTAAATTGTATCTGAAGTATAATTACAGCAAATCCAGACGCACGCGCACGTGTCTGATTGCTACTATCAAGCTGCTAATTGAAACAAGGTTTCTCTTTGTGAAAAAAGTGGAGTTTGCACAGATACTTAAAAAATGTATATGTATATTACACACACACATATATATATGTATATGTATATATATATGATGTAATTTTGAAGCCATTTGCTGCCTCAAAACTGGTTTTCTTCTAGGATCAGCTTGGGTTTACATCTAATCACCTTCACATTAACTCTTAAGTTCCCCTGTTCTTACGAGAGGGAATTTTCCCCAAAGCATGATGTTTTCTGCATTGCATCAGAGGGTCTTTGAGTGACTTGACACGAAGCATTTACATTGTGTCGTTCCAGGACAGTTTTTCATGGATGCCATATCTCAGTTACATCTGCATACTGGCCGTCATCGCAGGCTTTTGCTCGGGACCAGGTAAAACCACCTCTTTCCTTCAAACGGCTGCATAGGTACTGTGTAGATCTGAACGAGTGGGCTGATTTCATTTTTTTTCTGCAGTTATTCTGTGCACTTGGTTGATCAATAGGGCTTTCCCATGTGAGGTCCTGAATAATCAGCTAACCAGCATGTCATAGTGAAAGATGTTGTCCTATATTTGCATACTAAACAGGACCTGTACTGCACTGTATATGCATGACGCTGCAGATACAAGAATGTGAGAGCGTGGGGTCTTGGTAAGAGGTTGAGTTTTTATGTCAAAGTGAAGCCTTCACTGTAATATTCATGTCTCCTGGGAACGTTCATCCAGCAAAGTGCCTGTAAAATGGGAGGAAAGAGTCTTCCTGTTGATTACATATGGATTTGGAGGTGAAGCTCATTAGATCATGTCATTTAGTCAAATAAGGGAAAGAGAGGAAGCTCTGGCAAAACCTTCAGCTGCAGGGAGCACAACACCGACACCCTACTCTGGAAAAACTTTGTGGTCACCAGAGTCTTGCTAAAGTGCCCTACTGTGGTGATCATTGAGAAAGATTGCTGTGTAGTGCACAGATAATTTATAGCCCCTTGAAATGAGTAAAACTACTCACTGGGAGAGAAAAGGAAAGTATTCACAAGAGGGAAAGCCCCAGTTGTGCTTCGAGCATTTGAGTGGATAAATGAGGAGCCACTCTTACCTCTGAATTGGCTTCAACATGGGAATTGTGACCCAGATATTTCACTAATGCTCTGAAACATGAAGTTAGTTTCTTTGTGTGTGTGAATTTTTTTTCTTAAGTACAACAAAGGGAATGGTCACAGCTTTTTTCTAAGTTCTTACCTATACATCGCTCTCTGTTCCAAACTCTCTTCCACTGATTTTCAAAGAATTTTGCTTTTCTATAATGAACCCACCTATTATCTATGACCTACTTCGATATGTTCACAGATTCGTGGCTGCATTATGCCACATGCAGAGTTTTCTGCTGAACCAATCTTTACATTTTCTCTTTGTTAATTGAAGCTCGCTGCTTTTTCTTTTGTTGGAAATGGTTATTTCCAGTAAGTACGCGTTTTCTTCCTGGGGTTTGCAGAAATGTTACGGAGTCCAGTTAGTGACCCATGAACATGTTTTGTCCAATGGATAAAATACTGTTCAAAATATATTGTAATAATATTTAAAAGTGAGCTTTCCCTTTACCTGCTGATATTCTGTATCACATTCAGTGAATTTTATGCTGCTTTATCCTCTATTCAGAGATGGAATTAAGCCATTTCTAAAATGTTTTTTTCTTTGATTTGCTTTAAACATAAACTTCCCATCATCAGGTTCATGTACTGCTGTGAAAACGTATTTACAGCATCAAACTGAGAGGCGGTTTATAGCTGGAAACCCTTTAATGTGGCTAAATTATAAGAAGGTTAAAGAAAATGTGGGCCAAAATTACTCATCAGTGAAATAAAAAAAAACTTGGCTAGGTAATAGGTTTAGGAGGGAAATCAGCTTCTCAAATAGTGCCTGGTTGGTTTGCATAGCTTAATCAAGATGAATAAATATTAATTTACATTGACTGCGAGTGCCACCTGTATCAAACCCTTTTTCACAGAACTGTAGACACTCAATATAAAAGGTGCTTACTTTTCGGTTCTACAAAGGGCAACAGCATTAAGTTTTAATCTCTAGTGCCACAGAACAAAATCACGGCCAGTGAATTCAGCTTCCTTTAAAGTGAAACCTTAAAACAAACTGTGGGAAATCAAATGCCGCAAACCTGCTGTTAGTTATTTTAATAATGCACTCTTCAAGTAATAAAAATAAAAAGACGCGCAGTGCTTGGCTGTTGTGGTCCTCAATGACTCGTCATGCTCCGCTGTACCACCCCTGATGTGCGTGTGTAGCGGATGTTGTGCTGACGCTGTGAAAGTTTGTGTTTGCAGAATTGCCCTATATAAAAAAAATGAGATTCCTTTGGGAGTTTCTTCCTGGCTTTTTGCAGGCTTTAATACATCTGCTGCCAAAAGGGACAACATCCAGCTTGATGAGAACTTCATTTTGCTTTCTTCTGCACTTGGGTGTTCTAAAATTATACCACAAAAGAAGTGAAACTGTGCGTATCTATACTTCATACGTAGTATACCTATTACCAATTCAAGTTCTGGATTTGATGTCATTATATGTCATCTTGTTATTCTGCAACAGTATTTATGAAAGCAGTTTGTGCAGACTATGGAAAAACGAGAAATGTGAAGCGAAAAAGAGAACACAAGCAACATTATGATAAGTTGCTGAATCTGTAATGAGAAGACAAAAAGCCTTTTTCTTTCAAAGAAGCATTACAACTGTATGGAAAGGTGTTTAATACAAGCATGTAAAATTAGAGGGAAATCACATAATGGAACAGGAAGTTATGAATTGGTATAATTAGCCAATTTAAAGGCATATATTTGTTTCAAAGAAAGAGTTATTTGGTAGGTTGCTATATTTCAGTGGTGAGTCGTAAGTTTTGCAAATTTTTTTAACATGTCTGGGAACTTGAATGCAGTTCAACTTTTCTCAATGGCCAAACCTGGTTTATTTTCTTGGTGCCTGAGGTCCTGGAGTTCATTGAGATTGACGGTGACACTACGTAAACAGTGTCCCAAAAGTGAGAGTACATTTTTTTTTTCTATCGGATTCACAACTCCCAGCAGTGATATCACAATTAAATATTCTTCTAAAATTCTGCGGCCCCAGTTGTTCAGCACCATTCAAAAGAAGAGGATCTACTTGGGTTCTTTTCAAAGCTGTTAATATATATGGGACACATTTTATGTGCTAACCTGAATTTTAGGCTTTTCATATGATTGACAAGTGGAACAGCAGTCTGCTGAGGCATGTCTTTATTCACCAAACGGAGGCATTGACAGGTTGGCTTGGTGCAGATTTATCTGGCCAAATTTAATTGGGTCCTTAAATTGCTTTTGGCTGCATCTGGGAATCATTGGAATCCTGAGACTATTGCCACAGAGGCGATGGAGAAATTGCTGAGAAGTTGTGGAGACTTTTATGTTTTGTGTGTAGAGACAAATTCTTGTGTCTTTTCTTTGTGCCTGGTTTTAAAATGTCGTATAACCTAAATATTTTTTTAGATAGACTTTTGCTAAGAAAATCAAACTGACATTTATGTTTAATGCCCAAAACATCAGATGCTCTTCAAAACAAAACAAAAAACATGATTCGCTTTTAGATTTATTGACCTCCTTTAGCAGCCTGACACAGTTATTAAACAGCTCATTCTCTTGCTGTCATGACTGTGGAGTTTGCCCCTGTTGTCAAAACTATAAAAATATTGGATTAAGACACCACCTCCCCCAAGCTGTCCCACAACCAGTGTAAATGGTCTGTGCATGAAAGCTAATAAGACCACATGCAGCAAACTAACAAGATGGGAGACAAGAGCAACATCCCGCTGCCCTGTTCTGCATTCTGCAGGCTGAACAAGATGACAGTTTGCATTCTGATAGGGGAAACATATCTACATATGGCCTCTTTTATTGCTCTTGTTGTATGGTAGCATTCCAGCAGTGTGTGCTTTTCTGCAGTAATGTGTTTTTCCAGATGCTCTTCTCTCACCACGGTGTGCTGGTCCTCCAGCGTCTGACGCAGACCTGTGACATCAAAACTGCAGGCTGCAGGGGAAAGCTTACATTCTGCATGTCGTCAGCTGGAGCACTTAGTTTATCCATTAAGCACTGAGACAGGACAGATTAGTGGACTTTATGTTTTGCACACATCCTTTTGCTTTGAATGGGTAAACATGTTTTGAAGTTTTTTCCCACCTCCCAAAACAATTCTTATAAGATGGAATAACTTCCTATGGTGAGAAATAGATGGAGTGCCACTTTTTGTGCTGAAATTTTTTTCTCTAACTTTTTATTGTGTGCTACATTCATTTACTTTCACTCTGTAACATCAGTATTGATTTTGTTTATGTTCTGTTGAGTGTTTGCTGCATTGTGATGCTACAACAATTCAAAGAAACCGTGTAGTTCAGTTACTTTCCATTTATCTTTCACCTGTCATTTTATAGCAAAAACTCTCAAAAAGAGACCCAGGATTTAAGGTTAAATGTATCTGAACATGATATGGCTGTCTTCTCTCTTCTCCCTATGGCATATCTTAAAAAAATGTCTTTGATAGGCCTGGAAAGGCCATATATCCCTCTTGTATAAAAGCAAAAAACATACTTTTTCACGCTATTCCTATGTAAGTCATAAGAAACTGACACATAATCTGCATGTTGCTGTTCCTGCTAAAGCCCTTTTTTTGTCCCGATTTTCCCTTGACAACAATCCTACAACGTCCTGTAGTGTGTGGTGTGTTACGTGGCTGTGTGTTGAACATACCCAATCTAAAATGGGGCATATTCAACATTGTCTTGGCCCGATTATGGCAGCCTGTGTGGTTTTTCCTGACTGGGAGTGAAAACGCAGCCTGTTGAATGATCAGAAAGCGCGGTGACGTAAGAACGAAGGGGAAACCCAAACAGTTGACATGCCAACCAAGAGTCCGGTGGATAGAGGTGATATGTAGGAAGATACATAAAGGTAATTTTTATATGCGTTTATTATATGTGTTTATGTTTATTCAGTTAAAAATGTTAACTACGAAAAACATAACTCATCTCCAAATCACAGTGCAGCAAAAAGAACGACTCCCACCGTCTTTTATCAAACGCCTTTTCTTTTGTTTCGTCTTTTATCGCTTAAAATGAGCCCACAGACTATCACTACTGCTTCTACATCGTCATCCGTGTTTGATCATTCTCAATTTACGTTTGGTTTGTTGGGTTTTTTTGGAATTTCATTCTGATCACCACATCATGCAGAGCAGCTTGGAATATGTGAATCACCTTCCGGGATAAATCCATTTTCTTGTCTCTTCTCTGGGCCTTTTCCCTTCACAAAGAAACTTTCCAAAGAATCTGATCTGTTTCTTTCTCATTTTGATGCTTGTG